AGTCTCCTGATTGGTGGAGGGTACAGAAGATGAACCCTGGCAACCATCAAACAGAAGTAAATTTGGAAGCAGCTTTGTTGTTCTCTGGTCAAAGATGCCCCCCCCCCCCTCTGCTTTAGCCTTACTTTACTTTCACTTAATAAAATTGTCTTAGCCAGGTGCAGTGCCGCACATCTGGAATCCCAGCAGCTGGGGAGGCTGAGGCAGAGGATCTCGGGTTTAAAGCCAGCCTCAGAAACAGGGAGGCTCTAAGCAACTCAGTGAGATCCTGTCTGTAATAAAATACAAAATAGGGCTGGGGATATGGCTCAGTGGTTGAGTGCCCCTGAGTTCAATACCCAATACCAAAAAAAAAAAAAAAAAAAAAAAAAATTCTCTTACTTGGCTTTTCATGTCTGACTTTAAATTTTCTTTCATCAGGACACAAGAACCGAGGTTTAGAACTTCAGCTCTCCCCTCTCCTGTGATAGGGGAAGCTTTGGGATAGGAAGACAGCCTACAAGAGAAGCATTTGACCTTCTCTATCTCTTTTTCCCTTCCACCCACAGGACCTCTGTAATTAAATTTAGAACATCAAAATTTAGGACTTCCCCACTCTCTATACCTGAGTTTATCAATATGGTGGCCACTTGCCATGTGTCTAAATTGAGATGTGCTATAATGAATGACACTAGGGACTTTGAAAACATAGCATAAAATAAAGACTTAAAAATTCATTTATAATTCTTATCATCACTTCATGTTAAAATGATAATATTTTGGATATATTGGGTTATATAAAATTCACCAGTAAAATTAATCTTATCTGTGTATCCACCTTAGTAATGTGATTATTAGAAAATATAGAATTACCTATATGGGTCATATTTCTGGCTTACATTATTTATTTACTGGACAGCATCGTTCTATACCCTCAGTGGCTTTTTAGCCTGTGCCTTGCCACTGGACTCTTTTCTTCCCCCTTGGAGTGTGCTGTTTTCTCATGTAATTGAAGACCATCTTTGGCCTTAGTGCAGTTGCAGGCAGGGATCCTGCACATGATTTTGTTGAGGACAATGAGAGAATCATAAATTGCCATGTTGCAGCATGTGGCTGCAAAAGGCACTTTGATGCTGAGTCCATTGACCACAAGATACCCATGTCATGACCAGCACAGGAGAATAAAGCCCAAACTTCCTGTGGTCACTTCCAGGGTTATTTGTTGGTCTTAGAAAGGCGAAGGTAACTCTGAGGCCACTATGCAATTTTAAGGTGATCTTAATGGGCCCATTGTTTCTCAAGGTATTTGAATATTAATACAACAGTCTGGGACATCCTGGATGTAAATTATCTAGGGATTATCAGAGTTCCTTGAGAAAACACTGATAGGCTTTTTAATATTGTTTTCCAGGCTTTATTTGTATTTTTCAAAATTAAATAGAGAAATAATAGAACAACATTGTAACCGTTCAGTTATAATATAGATCAGTGCTGTCAGAACTTTGATGATGGGAATATCCAGTGTGGTGAAAACAAAGTGTATGTGGCTATAATATATGAATGAAATTAAATTTACATATAAATATTCACATGGGGCTAGTGGCTACATTTTGTACACTGCAGTTCTAGTTCAAGTTATCCTAAAATGTTTGTCATCATTCTAAAAGTAGGGAGACCTTGAACATTAAGAATCACTGGGGGGGCTGGGGTTGTGGCTCACTGATAGAGCGCAAGACTCTGGGTTTGATCCTCAGCACCACATAAAAATAAATAAGGTATTTTGTTCAACTGCAACTAAAAAATAAATATTAAAAAAAAAAAGAATCACTGGAAGCCAGGCACAGTGGTACATTCAGCCTCAGCAAATTAGCAAGACCCTGTCTTAGAATTAAAAATAAGCCGGGGTCAGTGGTGCACACCTGAAATGCCAGAGGCTCGGGAGGCTGAGGCATGAGGATTGCGAGTTCAAAGCCAGCCTCAGCAAAAGTGAGGTGCTAAGTAACTTAGTGAGACCCTATCTCTAAATAAAATGCAAAGTAGGGCTAGGGATGTGGCTCAGTGGTCAAGTGCCCCTGAGTTTAACCCCCGGGACCAAAAAAAAAAAGGTCGGGGAGGCTGGGGATATAGCTAGGGATGTAGCTCAGTGGTAAATGCCCTGGGTTTAATCCCCAGTCCCTCCGGCAAAAAAAAAAAAAAAAAAAAAATCATTGTAATACTAACAAATATATACCATTTCCATCCTAGACTGCATTCTTTATATATCTAATTAAATTAAGATGTACTAAATTATCAAATTCATTTTTCTATGGTCCAAGATCTTGTGCCCAAATTTTTTTAATGTAATGATTAGGCTAAATGTCATTAGATGATACCCTAGGTGAAACTGATTTGATTTCCATCATGGGTAACAGGTGTACAATCCGTAAGTCCCCAACAGGGCTGCCTGCTTCTTGAGATAACAGCAAACAGCAATTGGAGTTGACAGCCAGTGATTACTTGGTAGGAGGGCAGGGAGCTAAGGTAAAGGCGCAGATCTCAAGGCTGACCTATAATGTTGTTTTCTGAATTTGTCTCAACCTCCCACTGGATTTATTCCTTACTCTGCTTCATTTCATCTTAAAATGGTCAGATTTAAACACCTGAGGCAGGCACTGAGCCTATGTTGAAAATAAAGATAATGATAATACAGTTAATGATAACAATTGCAGTACTAGTCGAATTAGTAATCATAGTAGTAGTACTTGTAGAATTTAGTTAATACTAAAGGGTTTTTTTTTGGGGGTGGTGGTAGTTTTTGTTGTTGTTTGGTGCTAGAAATTGAAATCAGGGCCTCACCCATACTAAGCAAGTCCTAACACTAAGTTTCTAACCCTTAACAATCTTAGGTGATTCTTGGTCCAGTGTATTCTCTGCCTTCCAAAAACAATGAGTGCTGTCTACACAGGTAAGTAGGCGAGGGGTCAGGATAACATAAGAGGAAATGCTCAGTGAGAAAGCAAAGACTATAATATTCTCCTGAGTGAAAGCAAGTCAGGACAGTGCAGCATACCAAAAGCCAATGTCATTTGTCCTACCAACTTGGAAACAAGAATGTGTCATATAATGTGGTAAATTAATCTAGTGAAACCCCACCTCCCCAAACCACTGCAGTTTTTTTTTTGTCAGAAATAAAAGAAGTATCTCAACTGTCCTAAAGACAAAAGCATGCAGAACTTTAGATGTTTAACTTTCATCTTTTTGTAAAAAAAAAAAAAAAAAAAGGAAATCTTTGGTAACTCACTAAATATGACTAATTTTTTCCATTTTAAGCCTTAGGTCATAGAGCGCCAGTCTGAGTAGGATGTGGGCATGCTGGTAGGAAGCCACACCTAACAACCAGAAATTTATTATGACTCAGGCCAGTTTAATTTAATGAGAATACAGTCAATGAGGAAGGAAAGAAAATAAACATACAATAAAATTATATTTATGAAACAGTTTCAAGCCTTTGAATTTAGCTAGATTAGCATTATTAATTTTTAAGCATTCAATTTTTACCCATTCTTTGTATTGTATATATTTGGGGTCAAAGAGGATCAACAACAACAACAACAACAACAAACAGAAATCCAGACCAACCTGGATGCAAGCCCACATTTGAAAATTTTGTGTCAATTTCTTTTAATAATGGAAAACATGAAAAATTTCTCTTGAATGCTATGCTTTGCCACTTCATCTCTCCATAAACTCAAACTCATCTTTCCACAAATACCCACATCCTCTCCCAGCACCTTGACTGTTCTTAATGATGGGGGCAATTTTGTCCCTAAGAGCTTGTTTGACAATGTCTGCTGACTTTTTTTTTTTTTTTTTTCTTGGTGGCAGGGATTGAACTCAGGGCCTCAAACATGCTTGGCAAGTGCTCTATCACTGAGCTACATCCTCAGTTCCCTGCAGAAATTTGTGGTTCTTTTAACTGGGTGGGAGTCCTACTGGCATCTAGTGGGTAGAGGCCAGGGATGCTGCTCAACACCCTGCCATTCTCAGGAGAGTTCCCAACAACAATGACCCACCTACCATGTCAAGGTTATGGTTAAGAATCCCTACAACATCCTGATGTGGACATTAATTTGTATTCCCAGGGCAAGAATCAGAGGTTTGAGAGACCACCTTCTGGCTCACTTGATTTTCTGTGTTTACAGCAGAACACATACTATCAAGTTAGTCAGCTAGAATTAACTCCAGGATTTGTAACTCCAGTTAGAATATCCCTTAGTGTGAAGCCACTGACTTGCTTGCAAAAATTAAAGCAACTTCCAGAAACTTAAGATTTACTGAAATAATTTGTACTCTGTGAATTGCCCTTAGTAAAAAGATCATTACTAACAAGAAACAATAAAAACAGCAGGTTCTGAGGCCTGGTGGTACACAGCTTTAAGCCCAGTGACTTGGGAGGCAGAGGCAGAAAGATCACAAATTGGAGGCCAGCCTAGTAACTTAGCAAGACTCTGTTTTGAAATAAAAATAAAGAGTTAGGGATGTAGCTTGTGGTAGAGTACCCCTGAATTCAATTGTCAGTACCATTACCAAAAAAAAAAAAAAAAAGTTGCTTAGGGTTTCATTAAGTTGCTGAGGCTGGCCTTGAACTTGTGATCATCTTGCCTCAGCTTCCCAAGATAATCAGATTCTAAGATATTTGAAACTGGAAGTCTTATTTGTCCAATTTCTGCATCATTTTAGTATACTAAACCTGACCAAGAAAGAACTTTCCACATTTACTTTAGAGGATCAATAGAAAAGTTAGCATAGTAGTATACCTGTAATCCCAGCAACTTGGGATGCTGAGGCAGGAGGATCACAAGTTCAACTCCAGCCTCAGCAATTTAGCAAGACCCTAAGCAACTTGGCAAGACCCTGTCTCAAAATTACAACATATAATCACACCAGACTGCCAATGACACCATACCTACAAATGCTTAACACAAATGATCGTTATAAAAACCAAACAAGCAATTTTGTTCTCTTTAGGAAAATGTACTCACAGGCTCGGTTCCGGCTTTTATAAGTGCAGGTGTAGAGACTGCAGGGCCTCACTGGCGTGGACCGCAGAACCTGGAAACTTCTCCATGGTGATTTGCATGGAGAAGCTTGAAGAATGACCCTCAAGCTATTCATCACCACCATCTCTAGCTGGAAATCTCTGTCAGTTTCCAAATAGTTTGCAGGAACCTCAAAACCTAGAGGAGGAGGGCAGAAGAGGAAAAGCTATGACCAATAGAGAAAGAAAAACGTGAAAACATCTAAGTTCACACCCTGAGGTGGGGGGGGGAGGGCGAGGGACAATAGTTTTATTCACTTTTGTGTTTCAAACTCATTGGTTCCTCACTAAGCTGTGTCCAGATGACTGACTCATATGCCCTGCCTTTCAGGGCTGGCAAATACTTGAGGCCCAGAGAAAACATTCTCCTCATTTACATGAATAAAAAAACTGTTGGTACTGGGGATTAAACCCAGGAGTGCTTAACCACTGAGCAACATCCCCAGCCCTTTTTATTTTTTGAGATAGGGTCTTAATAAGTTGCTTAGGGTCTCACTAAGTTACTGAGGCTGCCCTCAAACTTGTGATCCTCCTGCTTCAGCCTCCCAAAATGCAGGGATTACAGGCATGCACCACTGTTCCTGGCTGGTTTCTTAAACAAACAAACAAAAAATTACTCCCTGAAATCCCAATTCATTACCCAGCATGGTATTTCCATATAGGAAGAATTCAATGATTAAAATTCCCTCCAGGCTGAATAAAAACAATCATCTGCTTTTGGATTGCTTAAAAACAACAACAACAAAGAAAGAAAGAAAGAAAGAAAGAAAGAAAGAAAGAAAGAAAGAAAGAAAGAAAGAAAGAAAGAAAGGAAAAAAAATTAAAAATAATATATCCTGCCAAAATAGTCATGGGTGGTTTTGAAATCTAAGCTTAAATACAATCTGTGACTCTTTACCCATTCTTGTTGTAATGTTAAGGCTCCAGAACATGGGAAAAACAGACAATGTTACTCTTGAACTGTCACTCTGCACCTCTCGCAGTAAAAATCTCAGAAGATGATGCTTTGCAAGGTATCCAACATGGGGTTCTGAAATTATGGTAATATTAACTTTGAACACTTTTCGCCTACCAGCCCTGTACCCCTGCTCCATTATTGCTTCATCCACTTTTCCTGCAAAATCCTGTCCCAAGTGAATAAACAAGTTCTGAAATTGAAAACAAACACTTCTCTTGGTTCCCTATTCATTCCACTATAGATTTTTTGAGTGTTTTGTATGATTACTTGGGATGCCTCCAGACAGCTGTTGGGGACATGACTGATGTTGAGTGACCATGACTGGTACGACTGCATAGACCTGGCCCCATTGAGCTCCTAGCCCCTTTGAGTCCATTTGTTCTCCTGCTTGCCCACCAGCCAGGTGGACTTCAGTTTCTCCAGCTCCTTAGGCCCTCTGCAGCAGGTGAAGATGGTCTTCTTTCCCTGGGACACTCTCCTTACCTCTGTGTCTGGTTGATTCCTTCAGATTACCGACTCTAGAGCCACTTGCTTTAAACTTTCCCCCAACCATATGCTCCCCAGGTTAACCCGGCACAGGCACTCTTCTGCAGCAGAGTGCTTACTGCAGTTCAATTAAGTACCTGATTGGGAAGGCAGACTGCGACCCATCCTCCCCAGCACCTAAGCTCCATAGTGAGAGGGGTGGTGTCTCTTAGAGACACAGCATCTTAGCTTCATTTCTTAGGGACACAGTTCCTGATACACAATGGGTATTCGGGGAGTGCAAGATGAGGGATCTGAGTAGGCTCCTTTGGTGATGGGGAAGATGTTGATTCTAATTTCAAGAATAGAGAACTGTGATGTGACTACCCGCATGTTTGGGGACAGTACTAAAGGTCTTTCATTTTTTCAATTGGTACCATTACCCATTTGTAGGGTTGTTTTTATTTTGTTTTGCTTTACCTTGTATTTTTCTTTATTGCAATACTGGGGATCCCAGGGCCTCTAATATGGCAAATGCTCTACCACTGAGTTATACGCTCAGCCCACATGAGTTGCTTGCATCATTATTATAATCATTATTATTATTATTATTATTAGGTACTGGTGACTGAACCCAGGGACACTCTACCACTGAGTGACTGACACCCACAGCACATTTTATTTTTTTTATTTTGAGACAGAGTCTCACTAAGTTGCTGAAGCTGGCCTCAAACTTGTGATCCTCCCGCAGAGTCTCTGGGATCATAGGTGTGTGCCACCACATCCCGCTTGTATTTTTTTTTTTTTTTGAGGAAGTTACTTTGGATTGAACACTCAGGGACACTCAATCACTGAGCCACATCCCTAGCCCTATTTTGTATTTTATTTAGAGACAGGGTCTCACTGAGTTGCTTAGGGCCTCACTTTTGCTGAGGCTGGCTTTGAACCCAGACCTCCTGTTTCAGCCTCCTGAGCCACTGGGATTATAGGTTTGCACCACCACACCTGGCCCAGCTTGGATTTTTTATATGCTTTTAAATACTGTTCTTTAAGAGGAGAGTCTCATATTTCTACTTATAGGATCTGAAGGACTCACAAAGTCCTGTTTGATCTAAAAGAAGAACCTACCTGTCTATAAACCTATCCTAGTCTCTCAAGGATGGGAATTCTCTCAGTGCACATTTTCACTTCAACATTTATTATCATTTCATTTGTTCTAGCACTGTGTTGGATGCTGTGAGTCTAAGATGACGAAAGTCATAAAAAGGACACACTATAATGTGATGAATCTAAAAAACATGATGCCAAAGTAAAAGAAGCCACATACAAGGGATGTTATTAATTTCTGGCACCACTACTGCTACTGACTAAATAAGAATTAAAGACTATGCTATCATCATCTGCTTTTGTCACATAAAGAAATTAAAGCGAACAAACTCATTTTTAAAAGAGATGGCTTTGTCTGTGTCCCTGTACCTCAAAGGGAATCTGTGCCAAAATGGAAGACACTTGGAACTATAAACCAATATGAAATGCAGAACCTCTGTTGAGTCTTGAGTGTTTTGAAGATTGAAAAGTCTTGCTCAGCATGGGTGTCCACCAAAAGACAATCTAAAACCATCTGTGCGTCACAATTGAGACCAATCAGGGAGTTTTCTATCAGCTGTAAAGTTAAATGCATTGTCTTGGGGAAAAAAAAAAAAGCACATGAAATGCTTAGGGGAAATCTGCAGAGACAGAAGACAGACTGGAGGTTGCTAGGGGGAGAGTGAAAGGGGAAACGGGCAGTGACTGCTGAGCGGGCTCCAGGTTTCTTTTTGGGGTGATGAAAATGTTTTGGAACTAGATAGAAGAGGTGGTTGCACAACACTTATGATTACTAAATGCCACTGAATTCTTCACTTAAGTGAGGTTTTTTTTTTTTTTTTTTTTTTTTTGGTACCAGGGGCACTTAACCACTGAGCACATCCTCAGCCCTTTTTTAATTTTACTTAGAGACAGGGTATTGCCGAGTTGCTTAGGGCCTTGCAAAGTTGCTGAAGCTGGCTTTTAACTCGTGATTCTCTTGTCTCAGTTTCCCGAGCCGCTAGGATTATAGCTGTGCACGACCACGCCCAGCAAGAGAGGTTCATTTTACATTAAATTTCACATCAATAATGTCCTTATTTTTAAAGAAGATGAATAAGGAAAACACAGTAAATGAGTTCATAGATTCTGCCTTCTCCTGTCAAAAGGAGGACTCTCAGAAGTTTGGCCTGGACTTGGGGGATGGGGAGCCAAGGCACAAGAGCAACTCAGGGGACACTAAAGACGCAGTTGGTATACAGACTTGAATTTTTCTTTCTGAGTGTAAAATTAAAAAACAAAACCCCACATCACGATCCCCATCAATGCTGAGCAAGGAGTCAAACAGTGTGATTCCATCTTCCTCTCTCTTTATGCACATCCCTATTTTTAATTGCCTGTGACCTGACTGACTCTTTTCTGTATTGCTGTTTGACCCTGCTCCTTCTGAGCTAGAAAGGAAAAGACTCCACCTGAGTGGAAGGAGAAAATTACCCCATAAGCCACATCCAATGAAAACAGAAAGGAGAATTACTTCCTATTGCTAGACTCCAAGGAACAATTGAGGGCTCCAGGCAGAACTCAAACTGGCTCCCATCAAGCCATCTTCCCAGACCAGAATTGGACCAATCTTTTGGCCTGGTCCTACGCACTTTGAGTATGCATCAGTTTGCCAACGAACACGCTGGACTCAAGGTGGAGATTTGCAGCCTTCACAAGATTGGAAGGACATTTGCGAATCTCTTGGAGGTTCCTCTCCTCCAGGACTAACTCTGCCTGGAGTCTGCAGACCAGTGACATCTAAAGTGTGTGTACATTGCCTAAAAAAAGGTGTTTGAACTTCACTACCCATTAAGATCAGTTTTGCCTATAGTTTTATTTGTGTGTTTGTGGATAAACACGTTGGGAGGAAGTATGTATGTCAAAATGTACCATATTCAAGATATGCAAAAGTTTGACTCGGGACTTCAAACACATCTCATAATAAACATTCATGAGATTATCTTGATAGTATCATTTTTCTTCTTGCTTTTTGGTACCAGGGATTGAACTCACAGGTGCTTAACCATTGAGCCGCATCCCTAACCCATTTTTTATCTTGAGATGGGATCTCACAAAGTTGCTTAAGGCCTTACTAAATTGCTGAGGCTGGCTTTGAACTCAAGATCCTTCTGCCTCACCTCCAGAGTCGCTGGGATTACAGGCATGGGCCACTATGTCTTGATAGTATCTTGAGACAAATAATGGCACCTTGTTTTCAAATACCTCCCTTAACTGAATTAACTGAGCAGCCTTACAGAACAATAATTTATTGATTACCTCAATTCAGAATATGATTCTGCTTTCTTTCTCTTAATTTTCTCTTATGGAAAATTTCAAACTAATACAAATACTATTTGCCTTCCATATTTATGGATTTGGTCAACTGCAGATTGAAAATATTTGAAAAAATTTGTATTTATATTGAACACATACATACCTTTTTCCTTATTATTTCTCCCTAAAAATATAGTATAATAGCTGTGGACATAGCATTTATATTGTATTAGGTGTTATAAGTAATCTACAGGCCATCTAAATTTATTTTTTACTGATACATAAAAACATAAAAATTGGACATATTTATGAGGTTCCATT